CGTTCTCCCCCCGACCCCCGGCACCGGCATTCTCCCCGCTCCCACCCCCGGGACCGGGCATCGTGCCCCGCTCCGCATCCCGGTCCCGGGCATCCTCCCGCCACCCCGGGGCCGAGCATTACCGGGACCGCGCATCCGCCCCCCGGGACCGGCTGCCCCTCTCATCCCCTCCCGAGGGCGGTGGGGGTTCGTTTCCCGGCCCCGTGCGGTGGGAAAGGGATGGAAAGGACAGGAGGGTGGCCCCCCGCCTCCCAGCAGCGCCCCGGGCTGTTTGTGATGGGCACCCGGGSGAGCTTCTTGAGCTGGGTGTGTCCCCCCCGAGCCAAGGCAGGCGGGACAATGCCGGGAAGGTTCATTCTGCCCCGGGAGCACAGACCCCGCAGCGTGGCCATGAGGGTTTATCCGGAGCCAGCGCCGGGCTTCAAACCTCTGGAAAATAGATGGATCGCTGGTTTTGAGGCCCAGCGCCCGCCCCGCGGGTGGCATCCTCCCACCTCTCCTGCCTTTGCAGCTGTGTTTCCTATTTAAAAGGGGTTTTTCTCTCCCTCTCTTTGCCTGGAAGCCAGCCCCACCGGGCTGGGAGCCCAGGACGGCTGCGGGCTGTGGCTCCAGTCCCCCAAAGAGAGTTTTGGGATTCGCGTCTCTTGGCCGCTCCCTTGCATCCCTAAAAGCCGGCTGTGCTGCGGGGGAAGGCGGGAGGGCTCCCTGCCGGGAGGATGAAGGTGGAGGAGGAAGAGGAGCAGATGCAAACCCAAACCGACTTGTGGGGTTCGGCTCTGCCGCCTCCCGTTTCGGGAGMGCGAGAAAAGCGGGAAGCCCGGGATGGGTTTCCCTCTGGCACGTGTAAGGGATGGATGGAGGGACCGGGTCACCCTCGCTGCCCTGGGGGATGTCCTGGGAGCAAGGCTTCCTGCTCCCTCTGAGCTCCTGCCCAGCTTCTCGGGGCTGAAAACTTGCAGAAACCTCATCCAGGCTGCGTTTCCGATGGCTGCCGGACTTTTCCGGAGCTCTTCCCCTGCCCTTTCCGCGGTGCATCCTCTTGGTGCCGGGGGAGCGAGCACCCCCTCGTCTTCCCGCAGCGCTCCTGGCCGTGGCACCGCCGCACCCCGAGCCGTGTCCCGCTTGTTTGCCTCCCCCCGAATGSGAGAAAGCGGCGGTTTTTGGGG